TTGTATCGTGATAGAAGCATGCATGATGATAGTACTGTGATAGCATCAAACATAGTAATAATACTATGATAGTACTACAAATGATTAAATGATGGTTGTATAGTTATAGCACCAAACATGCTGACAGTACTGCGATACCGAATTTCATGGGAATTAATTTTACATCATAATGAGGATGCAGTCTGCTTGATGTATCCTTGTACCGAGTCACGAAATTCAGTCAGGACCAATGACAAGAAGATCAATAAAACGGAAGCCATTTATTTCCAGCCTGTACAAACTATTTCCCCAAAAGTGTTGGGAATTCAGAATTCGTTTATAAGACTTTCGTGCAAAAATCAGAGCTAGAAATGGTTGTAGTTTATTTTTTTCCAGTTTGTCGAGGTATTTTGGGAAACTCCAGACTCATATCTGACATATGAATATGCACACGGGCGAGCAGAGACAGATCGGAATTCATCTATCCGAAAAATCCAAACATGTGTAGTTTTATATAAGGGGTCACAGGAAATGAGGAAAATATTTTTTTTATTTTTTATTTTTTTTTTTACTAACGCTTAATGCTGTGTATAAGAAATCCGGGAAGATTAATTTCTCAGACCATCGACGAATTTTGCACGTATATAATCCCCCTCTCTCGTACAGATATTGCCAAGAATGATCTTATATGGTCTGATAATTAATTGATTTGTTTGTTTGACGGCATATCAACCTCTTATTTAATGCCGAAATTTAATTTTTTTGAGAGCTTTGAAGTAATTTCACAATTTTACTATAAATATGTATCGTTGGCAAATTTTTCATATAAAAATGTATTTTTATATTTTCATATGGTTTTGTTTTTGTTTTGGGGTTCACTATTTGCCCATAGCTGTGGCCCTAACAGGTGCTACCATTCCGGGTTAGGGTAAATCTGGGAACAACAGCAATTAAGATGTGGTTCTCAATCTCCCGATCAGAGACCTTGCTGCTGTATGTAGTTTATCGTCATACCCAGGACGAGGCTGGCCTAATATATATTGTATATCATACATTGCTGTGTAATACATCTTCCTTCATTTTTTAAAAATCTGTATCACCACATGCAAGACAATATAGGCACTACGATACAAGTGGTTACAGGGTGTGGAAGAATTAGGAACAGAAACATTAATAATGAGCGGGAAGAGGAAAGAGTAATCTAAAAGACAGTAGATAGCAATCGACATTGAATTTGAATTTTTATAGATTAAAGTTGACTGGAAATCATGAAGACAGGAGGGAGTTCCACAAGCGAGAAGTGCGAGAAGAAAACCTGTTAGTATAGAATTTACGACAACATCTAGCCAGCTCAACTGTATGAGACCTCGCTGCCAGTCTAGTACTGCGCTTATATTAAAATGTCTAGGTACCATAGCGAAGAGCTCATCTGAACAATTATCATGTAAGTATTTAGGCTACCTAACAGCGGTGGGGAAGTGACTGAAGCCGAGCCGCCAGATCAGGACCAATAATATTGCTGATTTTTCTTTGGATTTTATGAAGGAGTTCAAGGTAAATAGCAAGGTCACCGGAACATATGTGACAAGTAAGCATGGATGAATTGTAGACTTATAGATATCACACATTATGAAATGGACAAAGTCCGACAATTATTTTAAGACATATTAATTGACGGAATTTGTCCATTTCATAATATGTGACGTCATTTTTTTTTACATCGAGCAGATATGAATGTACGAGAGAAAATCATGGAGAATTGTAGTTTAAAAACAGTAAAATCGACCTTGTTAACCGAAACGCTCCTCTTTGGCGAAATCGGTAAAAGCACGTCAGGCTATATGGCGGTTCCTTTTAGGATGCAGGTTCGATTCCTGTCGGAGGACGAATATTTTCTATTAAAATTTCTCGGATATTCAGGTCGGTGAATGTAATTTATACTGTTTCTTATAAACAGAGCATTTACTTAAATGTTTGTATCTATAAAAAAAAGAACGTATAAACATATAGATATGTAATTCGCAACAAAAGTATTGAAAATGAATGTTGGATAAAAAGGACAAAAGAATGAATGGGAGAACGAAAGAATAAAAAGTTGGAAGAAAAAGGAAGAAAAAAGTAAGAAAGTAAGGTGAACGAATAAATAAATGAATGAAAGCATTTTCCTGAAGAGAAAACATTTTAAGACACAACCTTATTTTCAATATGAAGATTTAGAAAAAAAAATTGTGTTTAATAAGCGTATTTAACAAACGTATTTAATAATCGTATCCAAAAGATTTATGTTGAGCAAAAAGTAAATTTGATTCTTTAGAAATTATTATTCTAAACACAAAAGAGCTTAAAGCATCAAAATAAAGATATACCGTAAATAAAAGCTATTTCTTCTTTATGTGTCTTATCCCTTCAGGACATAGGCGATCATGGCTTTCCATAACTTCTTCTCCCTTGTAGCTCTAAATATTGTCTTTCTGTTATTTCTCTCAAGCCTTGTTCCGCCATTCATTTTCTAAAGCACGTTATCTGTCTCTTGCGTTGTCTTCCTCTTGACCTCTGTCTGTCTTGTGATTATCAAATTTTCTAAGCCCTTCTTCCTCATCGTGATGTGCTCCAGAAAACCTCAACGGCACCTTCCTGATGTTATGCATTAGTTTCATTTATGTTTCCATTTTCTTTAAACCTTCGCCGTTTCTCAAATGTTCGGTCAATGATATTCTCAGCATCCTTCTGTAGAAGCACATTTCTGTTGGTGTCTGTTGCATTAATCACTTTGACTGATCAAGTCCATTGCACATTTGAAATCTATACTATTGCTGTAAATAACACATTTAAAAGACGTAAACTATGCATGTCAATTGAACAATATTTGCACATATACAGTGGTGTTCGATAAAAGTGACTCACCTGATTTTTTTACTAAATGTTCTCTTCTCCGATGAATCGAATGCTGAGCTAAATTCAAAGGATAAGCGATCTAAAATCCGAAGAAGAAGCTTTGAAAGCTCTTTGAATTTAGCAGTAAGTACTGTCAAGCACCCATTCAGTATAATGTTCTGGGGATGCTTTTTTTTTCATGGAACTCGTTTCTTAAAACTTATTGAAAAGACCCTCAGGAGCGAGCAATACAAGAGAATTTTAGAGTCTTGTCTGCTCCCTTCTGATGAAAGGGTGCGAATCGACCCCACCAAGCTCATTTTTATGCAGGATAATGCTCTCTGTCACAAATCAAAATTGATGAAGGAATACTTTGATGAGAAGCTGGTGAGTGTTATGACATGGGCGCCCCAATCTCCTGACCTCAACCCCATAGAAAACTTATGGAGCATGTTGCTCAACTGCTTTCTCGAGAGTCTGTACTTTATAATGCTGCAATTTTTCGGGATAACAACTAAGACATTACTCTATTTATTGAACAATTTAGTTCATGCCACATTGACTGATAAACTGCTACAAAAAAATTCTCAAATTACCATCTTAGTAAAAAACGCACTCTCTTAAATTTAAAAAAAATTTCAACCTTAGCGTTGTGACTGAACGCTCCAAAAGTTTGTATCCGTTATCAATGAATTTTGCCAAAAACAAAATAATTTCCATGCCTGAAGATGACTGAATGTACAGTCGAAAGTACTTGCGTATTTAAGGAAGACATAATACAATTTATAATTTTAAAAAACAAGGATCATAACATTTATCGAATGATTGGTAAGCTAATGCATCTTTAAAATTTTGTTAGCGAAGGGATTTCGCCATTTTATATCATAAACTTTTCTAATTTACTTTTTGTATGAATGATTCATTGAAATTGAACTGCACCACATATTTGATATATATATATATATATATATATATATATATATATATATATATATATATATATATATATACGTGTTCGTGTGTATGTGTACTGGAGTCTTCCGTCGTCTTAGATGTATTAGGGTACAGTAACTCAGTTCATAGAACCGGACACCCAGACTACCTGCACATATTTATATTATAGTGATTATATTGGTGAAAGAACCAGCCACTCTTTTTGGAATAGCCGTATACAGAGAACTATTGCGCATATATTGCTTCAACGAACGCTTTTATCAAGTTTATGAATTACTAATGGGAATTAACTCAAGATGAGATATCTAGAAAAGGCATGAAGGATGAAAGCGTTGATTGAAGTAATCCAGTGACTTGGCCCAAAGAGTTGTGAGATCGATCCCTGGCCACAGCAGAGGTGAACAAAAACTTGGAGAATTGTGTTACTAAAGGGGATTAACTGAAACTGAGATATCCAGAAAACGCATGGAACATGGAACACTCTATTCGAGTGGACTAAATAAAAGATTCGGTTTAAAATTCCAACGTATATTGCCTGAAGAAGGCAGGAGCGTACAACGTTCGAAATGTCGAGAATATGACAATAAATATCAAGACAACAGTCCAAACAATGTAAATAATGTAAATAATTATAATACCTCATCTCAGAAATATACATCGGACCTGAAGAATGCAGGAGCGTGCAACGGTCGAAACATTCATGAATATGACAATAAAAATGAGGGCAACAGTCCAAACAATGTAAATAGCGTAAATAATATAGTTCATCTTACTTTCGAAAGTCCAACGTCATCAAATTTGAACTTTCGCTACTTGTGATGTTTTGATAGAAAGACGTGATTTGCGTTTAAAATAAGCTTCCTATTGCTAGCTGGTGGTCGTATATCTGACAATAAATATATTCCTGGCAATTTGGTAAACCAAAAACAAAAAAACAAAACAAAAAAAAAAGCAATGCAAGAAACAGTTAACTTCATAAGGTTATCCTTGTATCAACCCCTTCAGCCACAACATAGATTCCATGCTCATACAAATATCCCTTTCCTCTTCATCACTTTTCTTTTTACGTGTCGTTTTCTTTTCAGAACGTAGGCAATCATGGCTCTCCACTTCTCCCTATTCCTTGTAGCTGTCAATAACTTTCGTCCTTCTGCCACCTCCCGAGACTATGTTCTGTCATCCACTTGCTTAAGCCCACCAGGTATGTCATGCGTTGCTTTCCCTCTATTCAACCTGTGTATCTATCTATCTATCTATCTATCTATCTATCTATCTATCTATCTATCTCACTCGATTCATTTTTGTTGTTTTTAATACAACGCTTCAGCAGATACATTCTTCGGGCATCCTCTGATATTTGTCGAGTCAGGCCTTTTCTCTATATTGGCCAGAGCCATATTATATAGCTGATCGTCATCACGGATCATTCCATACTTTACCTAAGTTAGTTTATACGGCAAAAACAAATGAGAGGTAGAAAGAGGAAGATTGTGTTGCGTCTGAGTTCAGTTGGTTGCTGATTCAATGCAGATATTTGTTTCTAATTTTTCGTTGTGTGTTTTGCTTCATGTGAAGAACTTTATGAAGGTTTTCCTATCGTCCGGTTCACACTCCTTCCCAGTCTTTTGAACATAAATAGGACTTTATCCCTTGTTTTCTGTATCGGAGTGGGTTTTCAGTTCCTTCTAAAATCTACTTCAACTTCATATTTCTAATATCTCCGCCTGAAATCTGACATTTTATACTCATTATTTTTTCTTCTTTCCCAATAGGAGTTGATCGGTTTGACTATCGCCCGGTTCACACTCCTCCCCAGTATTTTGAACAAGAGTAGAGCTTTATCCTTTGTTTCCTGTTAAGTAATGGGTTTCCGGTTCCCTCTAAAGTCGTTTCCTACTCTTGCATTTTACGAATCACAACAATCTTGACCTCTTCACGTTCAGAGTTAGCCATTATCTTTTATCCATAGCTCCATGAACATTATTTATTGCCTTTTCTTAAGCTTATATAACACCACACAGCAACTCTCTAACTTGGGTGGCTCTTGGGCATTATATCGGATGAACATTATTAAAATAATAATAATAATAATAATAATAATATCAATTCCTATATATTTACATGAAGAATGTCCGATGAGTTTCATTTTTTATGGAAAAAAAACTTTACTGCTAAGATACACAATGCCACTTCCACGGAGTCAAATACTCCACATTCCCCGTGTTCCAAATGTAAGGAGGATCTTCCATTCAAACAGTGTTTTTGTCAAGAACTGCTATTTTGTGTTGGTGCTTCTTTGAACAATGCAATATTGCCCTCTTCAAGTGAAGGGCCAATCGGTATACAGCCTCTTTATCTTCATAATCTTCACTTCCTAAAATCTCCTCTTTCATTCATATTACACATCTCATTCATCATAACTATTTTAACCATCTACTTTGAGTGGCTCTCGAGCTTTCTATTTGGTTAATTTTGGTATATAAAACATATAAGTGAGGTAACAAAGATGTCGTCGGTATGTTCAACGTTTCTGTCAGCAATGATTAGAACAATCATTGCAAGCAAATCCATCATATTTAACATTAGCATTAATGACGTCACAAGAGACATCCAATGAACACAAAGAACTCTCGATGTAATCTCGAAAAGAAGAAAAGAAGCCAGCAAGAAAAGGAAGAAAAAGGGAAAAGAAAATAATGGGAGGGAAATAGAAAGAAATGTGAGAAAAATAAGGATGGAAAAGAAATGCGAAATAAATAAAGAAGGGGAAAAAGAAGGAAGGAAGTGACAAGAAGAAAAGCGGAAAAATTTATGGAGAAAAAGAAAAACACTTAAGACATTTTTTTTATGTTTGTACGTTCTTTTTATAGATACAAATATTTAAGTAAATTACTTATAATAAACAGTATTAACGACATTTACCGATCTGAATGTCCAAGAAATTTTCATAGAAAATATGCGTCCTCCGACAGGAATCGGACCTGTATTCTATATGGAACCATCATATAGACTGACGTGCTTTTATCGATTGAGCCACAGAGAATTTACTTAAATATTTAAATAATTTACATAATTTTATTTAAATATTTGTATCTATAAAAAGAACGTATAAACATAAAAAATGTCTTAAAATAATTGTCGGACTTTGTCCATTTCATAATGTGTGAAAAACAGTTAAGCAAAACGAAAAATAAACAGAAAGAAAAACAACTGAAAGAAAGAAAGAAAGAAAAAAAAAGAAAAGCAGAAAGAAAGAAAGGAAAAATATGAAAGATGGAAAAAGAAAAGGATAGGAATTGAAAAGTTTCCAAAACATGAGAACGAACAAGTAGCGAAGAAATTCACTTTAGATTTCTCTCTATCTGCAGATTTAAGAATAAAAAAAGACAAAAAATACAATCTCCATATTTGCTATTTGAGACAATGACACCGCTTCTGCTATTATCAACACTATGATCACGGCCAAACTATAATAATAATAATAATATCAGATCATTGCAACATTTTGTGCCCAGTTTTCATTGTTAATATAATATGGCATCAACTTGACACTGGTATTTGTTTTGGTGCCAATTTCTGGTATGTTCTAGATTGAAACCTTGCATTGTTCAGTTGAATGTTGACGTTTTGTCCACAAATGAATGCCTTAAAGATGGGGAATGAAAAGTTTCACTTTCACCATATTATGCTCCATGAACTTCGGAAAGGAGAGAGCGTCGGAAATGTGTCAAAAAATATTCAGGAAGTTTATTTGGATCGTCCTCCTGCTCATCGGACGTTTCCTCATGGTGATTTTAACCTAAACAGTCACCCGCGCTCTAAGTGACCTTTCGACGTCGATGAAATTAGCATCGTGGAGAATAAACCGAATATTTTGACGGAGAAGATTGCTAAGTGTTTGAAATTGATATTTCAACTGCTTTTCGACATTTTAAGAGACTTGTGTTCAAGAAAAACGGCCGATTTTTGGCAAATCAAAAATGTGTCATTTTCCGCCACGAAAATGCAAGACGCATATTGCAAAACAGATCTTACAGAAGCTTAAAGAATTGAAATAGAAAACCCTTCAGCAGCCATCGTATTTTTTTGATTTGGCTCCGTCGGACTTTTTATTTGTTCTGGTCTCTACAGAACAATTTTAATGACAACAAATTTGATTCTGAACAGTCAGTCAAAAACTAACTCACAACCGTCTTCCAATAAAAAATACGAAAGAATGTCATCAACAAAATTGTAGAACGATTGAAGACAACTGTTAAAAAAACAATGGAGACTAAGAACTTGACTAATAAAAGTTAGTTTTGTTTTTGTGGGTGTATAAAATGTTGTTTTTAATTTTCTAATCGGGCATACGATTTTGCAATGATCTAATAATAATAATCAGAAGAAAACGGAAGAAAGAAAAAAAGTAAAAAGCACTGCATGTTTTCATATTCACATTTGTTTAAGAAAAAAAAACATTTGTTTAATCCATGTAATAAAGTATTCTAGAAGAAAGGGGGATTTAAGAAAAAAAATGACCAAATGATATAATATGGGAAAGAAAAAAAGAATTGTAGAAAACGAACATATTAAGGACAATTCTATGAAAGAAAGAAAGAAAAAATAATCATGGCTGAAATAAATAAATAAATAAATAAATAAAGAAAGAAAGAAAGAAAGAAAGAAAGAATAAAAGGTAAAAAACAAAAGAGACAATGTAAAAGAATAAAAAGCTAAATAAGCAGAAAGGAAAAGGATTAAAAGTTGAAAGTAAGAAACGAAAAGAATAAAAGAAAGATAAAATGAAGACTGATGACAGAAGATATAGATAAATAAATAAATAAATAAATAAATAAATAAAGAAAGAAAGAAAGAAAGAAAGAAAGAAAACGAAAATGTTATGGACAGATCTAAGAGAGAAATAAAGAAGAAAAGACAGGAAAAAGTAAGAAAGAAAGCCAGAAAGAGAGCAAGCAAACAAGAAAGAAAGAAAGAAAGAAAGAAAGAAAGAAAGAAAGAAAGAAAGAAAGAAAGAAAGAAAGAAAGAAAGAAAGAAAGAAAGAAAGCAAACAAGAAAGAAAAATATAAAAAAGATTTAAGGGAAAATATAAAGAAAGATATACGAATAAAAGAAAGAAAGAAAGAAAGAAAGAAAAAGAATTCCAGAAAATGAAAATGTTAGGGACAGTTCTAAGAAAGAAAGGAGAAAAGACAGGAAAAATAAGTAAGAAAAAAGAAAAATCTAAAAAATAAGACTTAAGGACAAGTAGAAAGAAAGAAAGAAAGAAAGAAAGAAAGAAAGAAAGAAAGAAAGAAAGAAAGAAAGAAAAAGAAAGAAAAATCTAAAAATGACTTAAGGATAAATATAAAGAAGGATATAAAAAAGAAAGAAAGAAAGAAAGAAAGAAAGAAAGAAAGAAAGAAAGAAAGAAAATTACAGGAAAAACGTTATATTTGCACTAATTTCAGATTCGGCGAAGAAAAGACACTATTTTGTTAAGTCATGCAAGAAAGAATTATAAAAGAAAGAAAAGAAAAAAAATATCAAAAGGTGATCTATCATGAAACTGAAAGAAAGAAAGAAAGAGAACAGAATAAGGAAAGTAGAAAGAATGAATGAATGTCAGAAACAACCAGAAATGAACATATGAATCCAATATATGAAGCATAGCAATTCTATAACATAGCAAATAAGAAGGGTATAACGTAACAGTGTATCAAACATAACAAGGTGCATAACAGATAAGGTGAGTGATGTTGACGATGCGTTCCAGGGAAAAGATTGACGCCGATAAGCTAATGTCATTTGGCTTCGTTCACTTGACAGTTTACGCCCGATGCTAATCGCGACATGAGGTGTGAAAGAAACAAACTCTCGTTATCTTTAGCATCTTACACGAGAAAAAGCGAGAGCATGGAATGGAGGAGCAAGGGGTAATAGTTGCGGTGGAAAGTGCCTGGCCGTGGTGGGTAGCGGTTGGGTACAAAAATCTTCCGAAGGTAACTGACTCATATCTACTGAGTAACAAGAGAGATTTCTTGACGCGCGTTTTTATATATATATATATATATATATTTTTATTCTTTCTAACGACACTCGTTCTGATCGACCCAACATAGAGGAGAAAAGAACGAGAAAGGACAATAACGGCTATTATACGATGAAAAAGAAGTAGAGAAAAAGTATAACAAAAAGGAAAGAAAAATACAACAATAACAAAAAAGAAATCTGAAGAAAAAAAGCAAATTATAGACGAATAATAATCTGAAGAGATAGACATGGTTATTATGGATTTGGAAAATGTAAAAAAAAATCACATTACGGTGATCATATTGAATAAAAAATGGTAAGAATGATAAAAAAAATTGTAGTAGTAGTAGTAGTACCGTTCACCGTAGTCGTAGTGGTAGATAATAATAGAATATGTAAAGAAGATAAGGAAATAGAAGAAAAAGACACGTCAATCGAAAAATGAAGACTGATTAGTGGCAATTAAGACAAGAAAGAATATTGATAGTGAAAAATGCTACTGCTGCTGCTGCTGTTGATGATGATGGTGATGTCTTTGGTAGTGGTAGCGACCATTTAGATCCGAAATAATATTAATAGGGCAAGAAGAAAAAGAAGAAGAAGAAGAAGAAGAAGAAGAAGAAGAAGAATGATAAAAAGTATAATGAAGAAGACGAAGAAATAAAAAAGACAACAATGAAGAACTAATAGTGTGTTGAAGAAGAAGAAGAAGAAGAAGAAGAAGAAAAGAAGAAGAAGAAGACGACGATAAAGAAATGGTAAAAAGCACGTTGAAGAAGAAGAAGAGGAGGAGGAGGAGAGAAGGAAAGAGACGATGAGGTAGTCGGGTTGGTGATGATGGTGAAGAAGAAGAAGAAGAAGAAGAAGAAGAAGAAGAAGAAGAAGAAGAAGAAGAAGAAGAAGAAGAAGAAGAAGAAGAAAATGGCAACGAAAACAGCCGAAACGAAAAGTATGGTTGATGCTGCTATAGACGATGATGATGATTATGATGACTATGATGATGATGAAGAGGAGGAGGAGGAAGGATTTGCAAACGACAAAAAACACAAACGTTCGTTATAAAAGTGAAAATTCCTCTTTCATAAATGAGCCATGAATAAATAAATAAAAATAAAAACTCATTTCTTTAAGAGAAAAAATTAATTTGAAGCAAATTGAATAAATCTCAGAAATATTTATTAAAGAACAATTTTTTTTAACATTCTTTTTATTTGAAAAAAAAAATCAAAATTTTGACAGCTTTTTTATACAATTAAGTTAGTATTTCTATTTTCTTTAAAAAATTTTTTTTGACAGGGATCTGTTATCTGGCAGTCAGGTTCTTTTTTTTTTTATATCTCCAGCCGTAAGCTGAGTGAGGAAAATCTCTGTTTGCCCCGGAAGTAGAAAACAAGATTTCCGTAGAGATTAGAGAGAGAGAGAGAGAGAGAGAGAGAGAGAGAGAGAGAGAGAGAGAGAGAGAGAGAAGTAGTAGTTGTAACTTCAGTAGCAAATAAAACCAACAGACAAACGAAAGTCATAGTAAGAAAAATTTAAAGGAAGCAACATAAAAAAAGATCAACGACAAAAGTAACAGAAATGAAATCCAGAAAAAAAAAATGACGAATCATCAGTTGAAGAAAAAAAAAAATGAAAAGAATGAAAGGAAAGAGGAATCAAGTTTGTTTTTTTTAGATTTTAAAAATAGACGTTTCGAGTCAGACATTTTCACACCTTTATTCTTTGCTACCAAAGTTTAAAACATGATCGCAGTCCCAGTTTCGACTACTTTATCTGTATAGTCATCCTCCTCCTACTCCTCCTTTGCTTCTTTCATCTATCCTTCCAACTTTCCTTCACAGGTAACTCCTTAAATGCATCCTCTTACCGGAAGTTGTTTCAATTTCATCCAACCACGCATCAAAGTTTGTTCATTAAATGAATACCACTTTTATTCTATATTAGTCTTAATCGGCACCTTTTAACAGATCACATGAATTTATACACAGAATAACTGCTTTTATGTGCCATTTCGTTTCAGGTTGTGGGCGATCATGGCTCTCCATAATTTCCTATCCTTTATATCTCTAAGTAATATTTGTCTACTTACTATTCCTCTCAGTCCATGTTCTGTCACCCATTTACACAAGCTCGTTAACTACGTTAATCGATGTTTCCCCGGATTTCTTTGTCTTCAATATATCTCGTGTGTGACATATTCCCCAAGCCCTCTTTCCTCATGATATTTCCCAGAAATTTAAATTGTCTCTTTCTGATTTTGACTACAAGTATCGTAACCGTTCCCATTTTCCTTAAAACTTCCTCATTGCTCACATATTCCGTCTATATGAAACAACCGGCCACACTTTTTGGAAGAACTGATAACAGAGAATAGTGAACAGCATGCTACGAACTTTCAAAAGTCAGACTTTTCAGTTGGAGGTTTAAAATCAAACTCTTAGTGTCATCAAATGGATGACAACCAAGGCTAGAGATTTCAGTCTGCTCTGTTATTTAATCCATAACTCTCTCTCTCTCTCTCTATATATATATATATATATATACGTAATTAACGATGTTGATGATATTACATATTACTACCTGATAGATTGTTTTATTAGGGTTAAGAATCTTTGTATCTATCGTCCTAGGTATTACGATGAACTACGTCCGGTAAGCTAAACTACTACCTCTGATCGGATGATTAGAGGTTTTTATGAGCGTAGAAACACCTCTTAATTGCTGGTGTTCCCAGGTCCACCATGAGCCGGGGTGGTAGCACCTGTTAGGGTCCTAGCTATGAGAAAATAGGGAACCCCCAAACAAAAATCAGCAGTAAATCTTTATAATAAAATAACCACGAATACAATCTGCGGCAAAATAACAATCACTGCAAAACAAAAAGTATAAAAATAAATTTTATATTAAAATTACCAACAATACCAATAATCTCCAAACTCTCTCTCTCTCTCCCTATATATATATATATATATATATATATATATATTATAATTATTTTGTAAAAATATAATCCCTTCGCTATATAAGTAGAGAAGAAACCATATTTTTGAAAAATAATTATAATTTAGGCTCTACTTTTGTATTGAACACTGTTTTTTAAAAATAAAAACAAAAATACTAAAGAACTTCGGATTATTTACCTAACGTGTTCTTTCCTATTTTTATATATATTTGCATATATATATATATATATATATATATATATATATATATATATATCTTTACTCTGAAAGTATAAAATTAGGTGGAAAACATCTGTCGTTGAAAGCATAAAATTGCGTACAAAATATTTAGATTTTGGCATTAAATAATCCACAGAGTTTGATATGCTGCCAAACAAAATCACCCAACCAACTTTTGTATCTAAGTCAATGATTTGCCAGTGGAGCATGGGAATATTTTGGTAGGGCATGTGTAGAATGTGCACCTTTTGGCTTACTGTACCATCGTGAGCTCAAATTTCATCTTGCATTATTATTTCATGAATAAAATAATCAAAGTATATTACAGAATAAGCTTTTATTCAAATATTTTATATTTCTGCCTTTCAGTTCTCTATTATATGTTTTAAAACTATATATATTTTACTGTTTTTTGGGTTTTTTTTTTATTTTTCCCTTTTATGGACGCCATGGTCTTTGGAGGCTTGTTTAGAGACCAAGTTTATGGCCTTTTAAGCTTCTTTCACGTAAAAGTTTGAATATGTAAGAATTAGATATTATGGGGGGTGGGTGGCACCAGAATTTTAGAAATATCAAAATGGAGCTTGACTTAAAATCGGTCGGGAACCACTGGTCTAAGTTATGAATATCTTAATAAGGAGGACAGTTGTTGTCGCGCAGTAATAAGGACAACCTGTTTGTACGCCTGTTTTCTTCATATCTATCTTTGGATGTTTGTTTTATAAAGATAAACTGACCTGATCAGAAATGGATTTTAAAAAAATGTCCACTGTTCGACCTTTTGATCATGTTTTGGGGAAGTGAGCCAGGCTGAAAACTTTTCTGCAACGCATGTGTATGCGTTAACTTAGCAGTAAATAGAAGAAAGTGAAGACAGTAAGAAAAAGCTCGTAGGCCTGTTAATGTGTCTCACGTCTGTTTTTGATATGATCTTTAAATTTCTGACTGTTTTTCTTTATTTTCGTTGACAAATTGTATACACTGTGTCGCCAACGTATCTGATGAAAACTTTTCTGTTTATCCCCTAGGAACTGCCCTAGCATAATTAACTTTCGCTTGGGACTCACGGCATTCTCGACAAAGGCTTCGAACCACTAGACGATCCCGACTCTCAAATGTGATAGTGCTTGTTCGGGAGGATGAAATATAGATTTCTGTCGGAGAAAGATTTCTGAACTAAAGAAAAAGATCAAACTGCTATTGTCCTGGAAAGAGTCAATATTTTTGTAGGGAATTCAGGAAAAAAAAATCATTCGACATTAAAGAGACGACTCCCCACCACCATCCGACACACACGCAAAAACGGGTTAACAAATATATTTGTCTACAGTTGCAAGACTGCATAATTTGCTACTCAAGTAAAATAAGAAAAAGCCAGTTCACCTTGAAGATCCATTTAGGTGAAACCTAGGTAGGTAGTTTCTGGCTCAGCAGGATTTTTTTTGTTAGTGCTTCCATTATCACGTCAGTTCTAGTGATACGTTCTTTTTGCCGAGGGGGACGCAGGTTCGAATCCTGCCGGAGAGCGCATATTTTCCTTTAATAAGATTTCTCGAATATTCAGGCCGGTTGACAAAAATAAATAAATATACTGTTTAATAAATAAATGGAACGTCAATTCAAATATGGATATCCTTTAAAAAAAATTTATAATGAATAATAAATAATACACACACCCACTCAGAAACACACACATACACACATATATATATAAATATAAAAGTGAACATAAAAGTCAACACTTAGAAGCGACAGTCTGATTCATGCTAGATACAATCATCAGGTGGCCTGACAATTGCATCTAGCATGAAACAGACTGTCGCCTCTAAGTGTTGACTTCTATGTTTACTTTTATATTTACACACGCTCTATCTCTGATATTGAGCACTTTATCCCATAAATATAGCACATCTTAAGACTATATTTTTTCATATATATATATATATATATATATATATATATATATATATATAGGATGCTATCCTTGCTGAAATCTACAAACATGAAGGGCATACACTTTGTAAGCTACTGCACGGTCTATTCGTTCAAATTTGGAGATCAGGCCATATTCCTCAGGACTTCAAAAATGACCCCGTGCAACACCTCTACAAGAAAAAAAAAGGCCTTAAAACAGTATGCGATAACCATAGGGGCGTCTCACTTTTGTCTATCAGCGAAAAAATTTTGGCGGGGCTTATGCTCAACAGAATTATAAAACACATTGTCGACGTCATGTACCCTGAATGTCAGTGTGGATTTCGCTCCGGTCGTGGCACTATCGATATGATTTTTGCCCCATGTCAGGTTGCAGAGTAGGTTCGTGAGTGAAACAATGAGCTATTGATCGTATTTGTGGACCTTACTAAGGCCTTTGATACTGTAAACAGAGAAGCACTGTGGAGATTTCTGAAAAAAAAACTTGGTATTCCTGACAACATGTTGAATGTCATCATTTCATTTCATGTCGGTATGCAAGCTAGTGCTATATCTGATGGTCAGCGTTCTGATCCATTTGATGTCACTAATGGAACTAAGCAAGGCTATGTCATGGCGCCTGTTTTGTTTGCACTGTTCTTCTCGGTGATGCTGAGGTATGCTTTTCGGGATACAAAAACTGGTGTTAAATTTCATTTTAAAACTAATGGAGGACTGTTTAACCATCAGCGGTTTAAGTTCAAAACACGTCTACGTATCAGTATTATACGCGATCTACTTTTTTGCAGACGATGCTGCCCTTGAAGCTAACTCTTTAGAGAAAGCTCAAGATTTACTCAACCGGTTTTCTGCGGCATGCAAGATATTCGGACTTACTATCAGCATCAAGAAAACTGAAGTTGTTCATCAACCTTGCCCGACACCGAAGCAAATTAGAGGTGTAAAGCAGAGACCCCTGATCATAAGTTTCCTAATGTCCCTTTGCAAGTTGAGGGAAAGAATCTCAAGTATGTGGAATCTTTCAAATACCTCGGGAACATGGTAAATTCAAGTGCATCATTTGATGACGAGATTGTTAATCGCATTGCAAAAGTCAGCGCTTTCTTTTGGTTCGCTGCGTCATAGGTTGTGGGGCGAAAGGGGAATAAAGCTTTGCACTAAAATCCAAGCGTAAAAAGTTATCGTTTTGTTAACTCTTTTGAATGGCTCTGAATCTTGGAGAATTTATAGATGGCACATTAAATGATTAGATGTCTTCCATAAAGGTTGTTTCCGTACAATCTGTGGTCTAATGTTTTATGATCGAGTGTCAAATGCCGACCTTTTTGAGAAATGCAAGATTGGTACCATCGAGACCTTCATAATGCAATTACAACTACGTCGGGCTGGCCATGTGGTAAGGA